GATTAACCAGCCATTTTGGTAGGGATTAGACTCGCGCTCATGAGAGAACACTTTTTTTTGCCTCCGAATTACGAAGGATGTGGAGCGACACGTCTGGCAAGTTAAAACTTGTCATGTTGTCAAAATTCGTTGGCATAATACAAGATTGTACACTCCTTTATTGGTATTTGTGGTGCCATGGTTCGACGTCAGTGTGGACTTCGTGATAGGACTTCCCCACACACAAAGAAACAAGGATTTCGTGATCGTAGTTTCTCAATGATGACATTTTTTGGCCTGCAACTGAATGTTGGAAGCATCTCACATTGCCAACTTGTACTTTCGAGAAATCGTGAGACTTCAAGGCATTCCTAGGACCATTACTTTTGGTCAGTACGTCAAATTTTTGATCCACATTTGGATGACCCTTTGGGTAAATCAAACACTAAACTTCAATTCAGTTCTGCAACACACTCTCATACGGATGGCTAGATCAAAGTAGCAAATAGGAGTCTTAGGAATCTTCTATGATGCTTCGTGAGAAAAAAAAAAAAAAAACATCAAGCAATGAGATCTCATTCTTGCGCAAGTCGAAGTCACCTTTAACAAATTCACGGGTCAGATTACGGGACACGTTGTTTGAAATTGTGTACGAGCGTAACCTACTCACACGCCTTGACGTGGTCCCACTTTTACCCACATCAGAGATTGATGAGGATGCTAACGAACGTGTTCACCAAATTCAACACCTCCACTTCTGCCTATATACATAGGACTCTTGAAGATACTCCACCCGACGTGCCGACATAATCTAAACCTTCTCAGATGAGATGGAGCCAAAGAGCTCTTGGGAATACTTAGGCGCTACGAAAGTCGTAAGGAAAGAAATGATCAACGGAGAGGACTAAAGAAAATGGAACAATCGCATAGTGATTTCTTACACCCTCAGTCATATTTATAGAGAATGGAATGAAGTCGAACCATCGCAGGGGCAATGATGTCATTTTCCAATCAAAAAATGTGGAAATGGAGTCAATCAAACACACAAATTGAGATATAAAACTTAAATTTTTTATTTCAATAATAATATTTACATCAGCCTCTCAGCAATTATTCAAGAAACTATTTTATATAACCGTCAACAATCGCTTCAGATGAGTCAAACTCTTGTTGAAGCAGCTGCTTGTACAAGTGTTCGCCTCCTAATCCAAAACTTATCCGCTCTTTCTATTTTAACATGTGCCTGAGCGTCCAAAGACGCCTTCTAGATGGCTGAAGACACCTTCTAGATGGTTGAAGATGCATCTCAGATGGCCAAAAATTTCACCCGAATAACTACTTTACAGAGCACAACCTCCTGAGCACGAATGAGAGCCACCTCATCCTTTAGCTTCTCCAACTTGTTCACCCGCTCAACCAACAGGTACATCTTCCAGTCTTGAGGAAATTTGGCCGCCTGGATTAACGAATTTTCTATCTCATGCAACCGATGCTCCTTTGAGCTGGGACATTTTGCCCTTCCAGCCACCTCTACTTTGGCCTCCCCTGGGAGACTCGGACGACAACTCCAGCCTCAGCTTGGTGGGGAGCACCCTTAGCAGACCCTCGGTCCACCTTGGTGACCGGATCTTCACCAACCTCCCCCGAAGGGGAGTTGACAATCACCACTCTAGTGATCAAGTACTTTGCGTCAAAAGACATTATAAAGTATTATTCAGAAAAAGAAAATACACCCAACAAAAACCCTCCACACATGATTTTTTCTCACTCCAAAGTTGTGAAAGAGATACCTTCCTCATCAGTCTTTTATCCCTCGGCTAGTGGAGGAAGGTTAGTGACACCCTGCGCTCCCAACGACACCGAGTTATCAACAACCTCTCGCACAGTTCCCCTAGCCTACTTTTGGCGCCCCAGACTGTGCCAAAGCACCAGCAGCTCCTTGCTTTGCTTCTGATGTTGGTGTCTGAATAAGAGCCGATTGACTGAGCGACGGCTCCTTAAACGACCACTTTACTCTACTCGAGATGCTTCCCCCAGATGAACTTTCTCCTCACGTGCTCCTCTCAGGCAGATCTCCTCCGCTCATCCCTTCTCACTGGGGCAACTAAGGAACGAGTTCGACTACCAGACCCGATCCTCCAGGTCAGGTCTCTTACACTTCTTCGCCAACACTTTCTACCTTCGCTCCTCTTTCAAGCGAGATTCACTCTCCCAACTCACATTATCAAAAGCTCTACGGTACGACTTTGCTGTACTTGTCAACTTTGGAAGATGACTTATTCACCATGCAGGCTATCGGAGTTCAGAGTGATCGAGCGAAGAAAATTAGAGGGAGATGGGAAAAGCACGTCCCTTTACTCCATGTTTATAGGAATTGCAAGCACGAAATTCAAGTGGTGTTCATTTATTAAATTATTAAGCATAAGCACTGTTCACTTTTTTGCATTAAATTTTCTTATTCTTATCACAAAGTAATCTCCGAGAAGCAAGTGAATCGGGAAACTAAATTTGTATACAAAAAATGTGTTAGCATGAATCTCAAGAAAATTCAACAACTTAAGACAGAGTGACGTGACAAAGCTGGACCCACCAGAAAAAAGATTGGCTATGCTAGCCAGAGTTCATTCGAACCAACCCAACGATACATGCCCATATGACATCCTCTGCTCGAGAATTGAGGATTGACGAGTGACACAACTCATCCGCCCAAGCTAATATCGAACAACCGGATCAACCTTGTTGACCTTATTCAGAAATCAAACCAATTGCCTAGACCGTAAGGGCTGAACCACTGATGATCCCAATCCAGAAGGCCGACCGACGACACTAATCATCTCGCCTTTTCGGCCTCAATCGACCGAGCCAGAGGATAGCAGGGCTCTGACCCACAACTCTGACTCATAGGTGTATGATTACTAGAATAACCTATACAACCCCTCTTAAAACAGTGTTATAAATGTAATTTTCTTTTATCATATTATTTTTCCTTTAAATAGAGAGTGCTCTTTATCTAATAGGACCTTTGGCTTCTCTCTTTTGTTACGTATCTTCTTACAAGAGGAAATTTTTGGTTCTTCACCCTCTTCATATATCGAAAACATTCCATTATATAAAAATGATCATTAGAGCCCGAGAATTTTTTTTTTGCCTTAGAGGGGCAAATTTTTGTGCACTCCTCTCCTTTCTCTCTCTCCTTTTTCTCTGGTTCAATCTCTCTAATCTCTTGGTGTGTCTCCCAGACAAATTCGAATTCAATATTTACAAAACCATTTAAAATTGTTGTTATCAAACTATGAAAACTAATCCTAGAGAACTGGATAATGAATCTAGCTGAAATGAAGAACTCATTCACATCTTCGTTAGAAGACCAGAATCTCACCATGTAAAATAATTATGATAGTTGTCGTAGAGAATATCATGATGCAGATTATGCTGTTATTTTTTATAATATTATGATATTGATAATGATATAAAATAAGAAAATTAAATTTGATGCATCTAAGTTTAGTGGGAGGATAGATCCTAAAGCTTTCTCTGGTTGGGTGATGGTCATTTTGCTTTTTTTCTCAGCAAAAAAATGTTGAGTGAATGCAGATATGTTTTGCTAGAATAAAAACTTAGTCAAACAAAAGTATATTGGATAGGTGTTGGAACAAAAGGAAAGATTGGGGGTTAGAACCTAACCTCACTTGAGTTGAAGTGAAATATTGTTAAAAGAAAAGTACCTGTATTTATTCTATTAGGATTGAATTCTAAATGAATATAAATCAATAAAACGAAGCACAAAAACTAACTGATCTTATGAATAAGTTTGAAAAAAGATTCTTATGTTTTGATTCTAGGGGGATCTAAAAACAATGCTTTCTAGGCTTAAATTTGGCTTAAAGCCTAAGCTCGAGAGAGCTGACCCCAAATACAATCAATTTGCTTGATTATGTTTTTCAGCTTTCTTTATATTACGAACAAAAGTACCGCAACTAAATATTAGGAAACCTGTAATTCAACATATATAGTCAAATTTACCTGAATTCAAGAAGTAATGACTCATCATCATCATCTCTAACCTTGTCCTAGCTATTTGGAGTTAACTTTTAGGAAGTGATCAGTAATTTATCCCCTAAAAATTTATAGCAGTTTCTATATAACTTATTCTCATGGTTTTTCTTTTGAGCTTTTTTGGTTCAGTAAAACTTCTTCTGTATAATAGGCCATAAATCCTTGGAATATATTTTAACTCTTCATTCCATATTTTGGGATTGTGAAAACTTCATTAGTGAAACTTCTTTAATTTCGTGAATCATGATATACTATTTCCAGGGTCCCATTTTAGCCTTAAGTGCCATTCTTCTTCTAGTCTAAGTTTAAACATCCCTGCCTCTCTCCCTCGCTCCCTCCCTCCCACCACCCCTTCTCCCTCTCTCGCTCTCTCTGTCTCTCCCTCCTCTCTCTATCCTGCATCACACACAAACTGACACATACACACAGGCATTAATCATTTATAAGATATTGTTGACAAAAACCTTTCCCTGCATCTTTTCACCTGTTTGTTCATGTATGATTACTATGAAATACAATATACAATCCCGAGTTTATTGTAGTTTTGTATAGAATTTCCGTCAATTGATTTAACGCCTGCTTTTATCCCCTTTTTTTAAGAATACATGTATGAGGTTGTTTAACCTTTTGGCAATAGCATGTAATGGTTTGCATGCTTTTTTATTGTGCTGAATAGTTCCATCAAGGATTATTTTGTTTGTCATAAGCATTTCTCCACTTGCATATTTGAGATTAATTTATAAGAAGATACTAATTTTGCCCCAGAAGTTCACCATGATTAGTAATTTTTGAACAGTTAGTTAAACACTAAATGTCATGTAAGCGCCCCAGTTAATCAACGTAAGAAATAATTAATGCCATATTACTCATTTGGAAGTAAATTTACGATAATTTATTTTTAAGCATTTTTAATTCTCTCTCTTTTTTTTTTTTGAACGAACTTTTGAAACAGGTCCAATGAACAGGTCCAATGGCATTGTCTTGGTTAAATGACTTCAAAAAGGTTATATTAGCTTGACTCTGTTTCTTCTGACTATTTTCTTTTTTCAAAGTGTGCATCATACTAAATATCTCAATGCATTTTTAAATTTTGATATTAGTCAGGTCATTTTTCTAGGGAAGGATGGTGGCACATATGGGCGATTAATCCCTAGTAAGATTATCTACACCATATAATTTTTATTTTTTAAATTATTTCAATAAATTTCATAAACATTCTTTCGATGTTTTCCTTCTATTTTATTTTTTATATTCGTCCAATATCTTGTTTGCAAGTTTCTAAGAATTCAACTATTTTATGTTCAGGATGAGTTTTTATAGGGCCTCTTTGTGTCCTAGAGTTACCGTTGTCAAACTATCAGTTTTATGTTTGGCTGAAAATATCTTGCGCGATAGCTGACTAGTTTAAAATTTTGTTTTACTTTTTTATAGATTTATGGTAACAAATAAATATTTGCTGGATTTTCAGTTGAGTAATTTAGAAGGCTGCCACGCCTTCTGACGTGGCAAGATTGCTGAAATTACAAAGTTATGTTAGAAATAGATATTTTCCTTTATAGTGTAATTTTAGAAAAATCATTATAGTGTGGTCAAGAGGTTTATTATAGATTTCTTATGAATGCTGTAGTGTTATTTATGTCTGAAGCGAATAAAATCTTTTAGAGCTCATAAGGGCATACATAATATATGAGGCTTCCAAACAATGTAGGTTCTGGGACGGTTCCCCACATTTAAAGAAAATTTTTCGGTGATTATTATCTTTGACCTACAAATTACACTGTAGAAGCCTAACTAGCGTTGTAGGATTACCCACTTCTATAGAACTTATTATCACGGATTAACTTATCTCAAGTCACCTATGCAGCTTCAGTGCTCTTTCTTGGCATTAAATCAACCTAACCCTCATAAAGTTTGAACATTTAAGCACAAAACACTCTAGGAAGAAGAGTACAGAGAAGTATTGGAGAAAGAAACACTTCACTAAGAAAGAGTGATTACAACACTTGAATGTCTAGGAACCTTGGATGGTTCTTGGATGCATCCAAACGAGGGAGAGAGATTTTTATTTATAGTCTTCCCCAAGCCTAAGAGGACTTTCTAGATTACAGTGCAGGGCAGTGATGAAAGTGATGAAGAGAGTGAGTCTGGGGCACTCATTACTATTGTTCTGCAGTTATTTTTCAGAGCCGTCAACTCCTACAACTAGGTTCGCAAGTCAGTCAGGAATAGACATTCTCCTTAGCGTTACTCACCAACCTTGAGCTACATTCTGTTGACAGATGGTGAAGAACCACAAAGTTATGAAGAAACCTTATAAGATGAAAATTCTAGCAAGTGAAAACTGGCCATGAAAGAAGAGATTGATTCTTTGCTAAGAAATCAAACATGAGAGTTGACAAAACTTCTACCGGGGAAGAAGACATTACACAACAATTAGGTGACCAGGTGAAAATTGAGCTTGATGGCAGTAGAATGTACAATGCTAAACTTGTTGTAAAAAACTTTCAGCAGAAGCAAAACATTGATTATTCTGAGACATTTTCTTCTGTGGTGAAGCACACAACCATTAGAATGGTACTATTCATGGTGGCTATTAAAGACATATTTCTTGAGCAGTTGATGAGAAAATAATCTTTCTTCATGAGAACCTTGAAGAAAACATCTACATGCACCAACCTGAGGGGTTTGTGGTACAAAAAAAGGAAGATTCAGTTTACAGACTGAAGAAGAGTTTGTATGACCTGAAACAAGCTCCTAGGCAGTGGTACAAAAATTTGATAATTTCATGCAAAATGCAGGGTACAGTAGATGTCAGACAAATATTGTTGCTATTATTAGACATTTTGACTATTCTTACATCATTCTACTCGTGTACGTAGATGACATACTTATTGCAGGACCCAATATTAATATTATCAATAATCTGAAGAAGCAAATGTCAAAGCACTTTTCAATGAAGGATTTAGGAGCTGCAAAACAAATCATTGACGTGAAGATTGTCAGAGATAGAGTTAGAGGCACGTTGAAACTCTCACAGGCAGAATATGTGAAAACGGTACTCAGCAGGTTCAGCATGGATAAGACCAAACTAGTTGACATCTTAAGGCAGTCACTTCAGACTGAACAAAAATCAGTCACCCAAGTCGGAGGAGGAACGAGACCACATGAGTAAGGTACCTTACGCTCCAACTATTGGTTCACTTATGTATGTTATGGTTTGCACAAGATCGGATATTGTTCATGTTGTGGGAGTTATGAGTAGATACATGAGTAACTTAGGAAAGGAAAATTGAGAAGCTGTGAAGTGGATTTTGAGATATCTGAAAGGCTCTTCAGAAACCGACTTGTGTTTCTCAGGAAAGAGTTTAGAGGTACAGAGCTTTGTTGATACTGATCTAGCTGGAGACATTGATAGCAGGAGTATTACCAAGTATGTTTATACTCTTAGTGACACTGCAGTATCATGTGGCTTAAACCTGTAGAAAACAATTTTCTTATCTACTACAAAAACTGAGTATATTGCAGTGTCAGAGGCTGCAAAGGAGATGATATGACTACAATGCTTCTTGGAGGAATTAGGTCAGAAGAATCAAAAGGTCACTCTCTACAGTGATAGTCAGAGCGTCATATTTCTTGTATGGAATCTTGTATTTTAATCCAGGATCAAACACATTCAGATCAGGTATCATTTCATACGGTCATTGTTAGATGACGAACAATTGTTACTTGAGAAGATTTATGGAAGCAAAAATCCTGCTGATATGTTGAATAAGGGTGTTACGCTTGAGAAATTGAAATTTTGCTCAACTTCAATTGGCCTTCTAGCTTGAAGACAGGGGGCTTTGAGTTGTAGAATTAGAGGATATCACGTTTGAGTAAAAGAGTGATGCAACCAGTGGATGATGTAGCTAGTGTCCCAGTCTCCAAGTGGGAGAATTGTTGAGTAATGTGGAGTCCGGTCTACTACTTCGTTTGGACAATTTTTACATCTTTGGAATTTATCTGAAATTATTTTATTTGTTTTCATGTTTTTCTTCTCGTTTGCTGGCTCTCCCGCACTCCCGTTTTTTCTTCTGTTTGCGAATCAAGGCTTGGATCTTCCCGCCTTCTCCAGATTTCCTTGATGAAGGGACTTGCCTTAAATGGGCCTAAATGGTGGATGATTATAACGATTGGAATTGAAAACTCAAGTACTCTGCTCATTATTCTGGTTTTTTGGCAATTGGCTTACGGAAAAGAAAATTTTGCAAGCCTTTCCCAACCCCTTGGTGTTCTTCGGTTCTTCCGTTTTGGTGGCTTACGAGTTGGCTAAGGAGAGAGAGAGGAAGAGAGATTCTTTCTTGTGATCGTCAAAGTTATCGACGGTGTGTAATGCTCAAAGCAATAAAATTCTCTGCAGCTCCGTGGACGTAGGTAATTTGTTGAACCACATAAATCTCTGCGTGTTTGCTTGTATGTGTGATTTTCTCGTTCCAATTTTTCGCTTTATTGTCGTCTTTTTTCACAACAACTTTTAGAAATTTTCAGAATATTTGAGAGTTCTCTTGAAGGTTACTCCTTTCAACATATTTTTTGAATTATATGAAACATTCTAGAATTCTTTGGAATATTCTCTTTCTTTCTAGTTTTTTCTAGAATGTCGTGGAATCTTCTAGAGCCCCTTGGATTGCTCTCTACCCCTTGGATTGCTCTCTACATTTTTAGTCTTCTCGAGAATCTTTTTTTCTTTTTGTTAGCTTGTCAATTATTCTCGAAGATGGCAGGATTTGACACCATCCCCAACTTAAGCTCGCATTGCCCTTATTGCGACTTCCACTTGATAGCGCCAGTTTTTTCTTTTCCCATGTGTCTTCATGTTTCATTTTCTTGTCTTCCCACTTCTTTATTCTTCTTGTAGCTTTATGTAATGTGGCTCGAGCTAGCTCGCTTTGCTTGTTCCAGGATTTGGCTAATTTGAAGGCCGATCTTTCTCTCTCGTACCTGGTTGTAGGGGAGAGGGGTACCATGCAATAATCTTTTATGGCTAGCGGCTCAATCCCTAGTTCTAGCTCGGTCTGCTGATCTTTCTTCCTCTTTGGTCGTAGTTCTTTTGGTAAATTTGGTGGTGAAACACCTTTAATTGAATTGTCTTCTTGGGGCTTTCCTTCTTCATTGGAGTCATGAAGAATAGCCAAGTAACTCTCCTCAACTCGTTGGATGCCCTTCTTTAATTGAATGATCGATAATATTTTGGCTTCTTGCTTGCTAGCTCTTGTTATCGGTATTAGGCAAACTTGGTTGCCCTCCATGATGCACATGCTATTGACAAACAATATTGAGAATGCTATTGTTTGCTCCTGATGGAAATCCCTTGTTCAATAATCCGATAACATCACCACCTTCTTCCTCTTGATGGCTTGTAAGGAGAGAGTTTAGAGTATTCTCCTGACGAAAATCCCTTGTTCAATGAGGTCCTCCACAAAGGAAGCAGTTGTTATGCAGTTTGGTTTTGTTGTTATTAGACTTCCATTTACCTTTTGCCTTGGATTAAGTCGATTGGTGGCGGGTCTCTTATGTTCATCTTTGTCTTCTCCACTTTTGACATAGGTACCCTTCTTATTTTTAGGCTTTGTGAACTCTTTTGAGTAATCAATTAGTCTTTCGACAGCCGTGATAGCAGTGGCAAGATCTCACACTCTCCGTCTCCCAAGCTCTCTCTTTTTGCCCACTATTGGAGTTCATCCATGAAGTTTAAAAGAGCATCATTGTCAGACATGTTGGGAATTTCAAGAACCAAGTTTATGAACTTTCTAATATATTCCCGAATCGATCCCTCTTGTTTGAGCTTCGCAACCATGCTCTAGTCTCTTCCTCCGCGTTCTTAGGATAGAATTCTCTTTAGCGTTTTCTTGAAGTCATCAAAGGTGGATATAGTGCATATATCTTTCTCTATATCTCATCGCCTTTTTGTCCATCAAAGCATAGTAATGTTTGAGAGACAAAGAGTTACAAATTGTATACTTGCTTCTTCATCCATAATCCTCATCGCTTCGAAGTATTGCTCAAGTCCCCATAAGAAATTGTCCACTTTCTTCGCATTGCGAGCTCCTCCAAAACTCTTTGGTTTTGACACTTCAATACGCTTGGCTTCAAATGTATGATGATTTGTAGATGTCTCTATTGCCCTCTTGCTTGACGAAATGTCTCCACACATCTCCAAGCTAGCATGTATGCCGCTAATCTAGTTTTCATGGGCTCTTCGTACCTCCTAGAGCTACCCCATAAAGTCTGCACACATCTTTGTCATTTGGTCCCTTAAGGACTCATCTAGTTGGAGCAACATGCCTCTGATCGCGAATGGATTGTAATGTCCTCCTCGAGTCCATCAACCTTTTTGGCCAACATCCTCTATCTTTGACTCCGTGCTATTCATTGCCTCCTACACCTGAGCAAGTCACGAATCACAACCGTGCATGATCACCTTGAATCTTCCATGGTTTGGATGCAACTGGATCTCGTTGCTTTTGACGACCTCGCCCTTGTTGAGATGATTCCACATTTGTGGATTCAGACTCCATTACGTGCTCCTTGACTCTCTTTATCATATCTTCAAGCCTTGGCTATGATACCAATTGTCACAGACTAACTTATCTCAAGCCACCCGTGCGGCTTCAACGCTCTTATTTGGCACTAAATCAATTTAACTCTCACACATTTCGACTTATAAGCACAAAACACTCCAAGAAGAAGAGTAGGGAGAAGTATTGGAGAAAGAAACACTTCACTAAGAAAGAGTGATTACAACACTTGAATGCTTGGGAACCTTGGATGGTTCTTGGATGAATCAAATGAGGGGGTAGGATTTTTATTTATGGTCCTTCCCAAGCCTAAGGAAACTTTCTAGATTACATTAGAATATAATATCGTCAAGAGAGTTATACATCGTTCTTTATATATACATGCTTCTATAAGTTTCCAAAATATTCTAAAGTTTTCTTGAAGCTTTTTTTTTCAGCATATTTTTGAAATTATGTTGAACCTTCTAGAATTTATTGGAAATTTCTCGTACTTTATAGTTTTTTCTAGAATGCCGTGAAATCTTTTAGTCTCTTAAATTGCTCTCTACATTCTGATCTTATCTAGAATCTTCATTTCCCATGATTAGCTTGTCAATTATTCTTGAAGATGGCGGGGTGTGACATTATGCTTAGACTATGATGCCATTCATGGTTAGTTTTAATGAAGTGCAATCTGGGTAAATTTTTTATGGATCTATTATCCTTATAATTGACATAATTTTCACAATTTACAGGTTGTGTCAAAATAAAAATTTCTAGTACATGTAATTTTTGTTCATTCATGTTTGCAGATAGTGTGCTTGTTTTTATCATTTAATGTTAGGATGAGTTGAAAATTATGCCATTGAAACACTCTAACCTTGTGTTTGATTAGCTTAATGTTATTCATTAATCAATTAATTAATTCAGTTTCAAATCAAATGCCGATTATAGGGTCTTTTTTGTCTCATTTCGTTCTCGAATTAATAACCGAGAATATTATATTATCAGTCATGTGAGGTTGAGCCAGAATATATGAAACATTCCCATTTGAGGTTAGTTTCTGCGCAGCTTCCGTGCAGAGAAGGCGACGCATGAAGCCAGGCCCTGCCAAACATTGTAGCGTGGCAGATGAGACGCTTTCCAAGAAATGCTTAGAAAAAAGAAGCTTTACATACATAACACTCAATTACTATGTATTTATATATCTAACACCTAAACTTTAATTTGTAAATATATAACACTACAGATTTGGGTGGTCTAAATGTAAAAAGTGATGTTTAGGTTTTAGATATTCAAATATATAGGAATTAGGTGGTATGCGTGTAAATGCCAAAAAAAGAAGAAAAAGAAAAAAAAAAACTGAGGGTTGCCCATGAAGCAGCACGCGGCGGAACTGGGCATACCCTTGCTATTATGCCAAACTAAAGTCTCAGATTGAAGTAATGTAGTCACCGAGGCTCTTGTCAGCTATAATTTGCTTCAAGTATATGTATAAATTAACTATCAATCAAACCATAGTTAGGCAAATTTGATCTTAAGATTACTTCAGCTGCACCTTTTACTTTGGCCCAGCCACGCCATTGAAAAAATTATCTGATTTCTTTGTCATTGGATAAAATTTTAGAGATGTGTTCCACAGCAACATTTTAAACAGTACAATTAGCCGTGCTTTCTGACCAACTTAAAAATGTTGTGCGGTTACATGCCTTGCTTTTTTTTCCTTTCTTATTTTTTAATTTTCTTCTTGAGAACGTTCAGTATTTCACTGGGAAGTCCATTTTAATGGGCTGCTTGTATCTACCTTCACCACATTCCAGGGCTCATTTAATTTGTAGTTTGTTAATTAAAAACTTTTATTATAATTTTCTGATTTCACTTTCCCTCATCATGCGTGAGATTGAAATTTTTATATTTGGTGAATTTTAAGATTACCTGTAGAGCTTAAAAGTCAGCATGGAATTTTAAACAAATGATAGGCTTGGCAGACCTTATCCATTTTTCAAACTCTGTTCATGCAACCAAATGGGGCCTAAGAAAGGTTTTAATTTTGCTGAATGTCTATGTTTTGTACAGCTTAAACTTGATTGTATGTTTCACATATATTTCTGTTTATTATAATTAAATTTGCATGCTTTCAGGTGGGTTATTACCTTCTACAGGATCAAAATTTTATGGTCCATTGTACTTCACTGTTAGACAAGTTACGGAGATAATTTCAACGGAGCAGCCTTGTGATCTGGCATATGAGTTTGGTGATGGACTATTAGGCTTATCTGAATTTCCTGAAGGCTTTCCCATGCCTAGTATAGTATTAACTTTTTACTCAATCTAATAGCAATGGCAGTTTCATTTGGGGCATTTACATACTTAGCACATAATTCTTATGTATTTACAAATCTCACCTAACTTTCATTTTTACACATGTAGCTCAAATCCCTAATATCACAACAAAATAGCACAATTATCACTTTTTAAAAGTGAAATACACATTTTCATGCATAGGTTTGAAGCACCAAAGTGTGTTATGCGTGTAAATATGAAAGTTTAGGTGTGAGATATGCAAATACATAAGAATAGTGTGCTATGTATGCAAATTTCCCTTTTCAATTTGGTTGGCAGTCATTGATTTAGTACATTTGCAGTGATAAAATGATATGTGTTATTAATTATGAGCTGATGTTGTTTCTGTCAAAATTTCAGGGCAGCATCCCTGGCCTTTGAATGACCATTTGGTCACATACATTCGTCATGCTGGTCCTGGAGTGGTGGTAGGCCAGGCATGGCAGGAAGGGAGTGATTTGGAGCAAGTGCCTAAGAAGTTTTGTGGTGAGATATTAATGATCAAAGACTATACTTCCAGTTTACAACAGTGATAGTATCATTATTTATTATTATTATTTTTGGGGCTAAGATTGTAGTTTTGAGTTGTAACATAATGTTGATATTCATCGGCGGGACACTTTTTATATGGTTGCCTGCTAATGCATGTATTTTTATAGGCATACAAGATATATGTGGTAAAAAAATGCGAATTTTTTCTTCTTAAATTGAAGGTTATTTCATTTCTGAATTATTTTTTCCTTTAATGTTTATGTTTGTTGCTATTGTGATCATCCAATTCGAAGAATAATTTTGTATTTAATTTATGTACTTGAGGTTTTGATTTTCCAGTGATTTATTTGTATGAGTTGAATATATAATATTTGGTAGGGAAATTTTTGCCAAAGGAATTTAAATCAAAATAATCCCCACAATTTGATGTAGAGCTCAATTTTTTTAATCAAATAATAAATAGCGTTAATATTAATTTATTTTAAATAAAGCTATGTTTTGATGTGCTTATGCATTCTATGGTGTATAAATGTAAAAATTTAGGAATATTTACGTAAGTACCACCTAATTCCTATTGATTCACATATCAAAAACCTAAACTTTGATTTTACGTATGACTATGCTAATGGCCAAAAGTAAGGGATGGGATGGTCTTGATATATGATTTATATCATGATTTTTTGATAAATTTTATATTGGTTGTTCACTATTTAACACAACCCTCCATTTTTCAATAAAGTTTTTGAAAATATGATTGATCTTAGTAATCTTAATATCATTAATAATACTAAAATATTTTATTTTTAACGTCACATTAGTAAAAAAAAATTGAGCCGATTTCAGGAAAATCAAGGGTGGAAGGTATGTAGAATCTGATGATATCTCAATTGAATTGTGGAAATATTTAGAAGATTTGGAGTTTCTTAGCTTACCAAACTCATTAATATTATTTTAAAAACTAAAAAAGATTAGTGGAGGAGGAGTGTTTTGATCCTCATTTTTAAGAATAAAGGGGATGGGCAAGAGTGTGCAAATTATAGTAGAAGATAATTAAACAGAGGCTAAGCTGAATTATAAAGATTTCTCATAATCAGTTTGGATTTATGTCAAGCAGGTCTAATATGGAAGTAATCCATTTATTGACAGGTTTGATTGAGAAGTACTGAAAAAATAAAAAGAATCTCCACATGATTTTTATTGATTCAGAAAAAGCTTATGATAAGGTTCCAAGAGATATTCTTTGGAGAGTTCCAATAAAGAAGGTGTTGATATGAATTATATTGAAGTCATTAAAAATATATATATTAGAGTTGTTACTTGTGAACCAGATGATTGACTAAATATTTTCTTATTTCAGCTGGATTACATCAGTGATCGACTTTAACCCCATGTCTTGCTCGCTTCAATTATTTATGCTCTTATTGGAAATTTAAAGACGGATGTACCTTGGTGTGTACTTTTCACTGATGATATCCTTCTTATGGATAAGACTAGCGAAAGAGCGTAGGAAATAGATCAAATTATGGAGTTCTACTTTGAAGTCTAACAGCCTTGTTTGAGTAGACTAAAACTGAATAAATGGAATGTAGTTTTAGTATTAGTTCTAGTGACAGAGTCGTAACTTGGTGTGATTAAATTATTAAAAGGTGTGCACATTTTAGTTATTTCGGGCCTATTGTGTGATAAAAAAAGTACCGCTTAAGACTAAAAGGAAAAATTTATAAGATGGTGGTGAGAATTGCATTGCTCTATGGCGCAAAATTTTGGCCTTTAAAAGAGAAGCATGAAACTAAGAAGTGTTACGAAGATGAGAATGCTTAGGTGGATGAGTGGCTTTACACTTGGAGACAATTTGCGAAATGAATATATCTGTGATAGGGTTGGTGTAGCTTCAGTAGCAGACAAAATTAGAGAGAGCCGTCTTAGATGGTTTGGTATCTGATGATCCGGTTAAAAGAGTAGATATTTTATATTTGACTTATGTTAAGCAAGACAGAGATAGACTTAGAAAGACTTGTGCAAATTGTATAAAAAATGATCTTAATTTATTATAATTAAATGAAAATATAACACTCAATATTACACAATGGATAAAAAAAGGGATTCTTGTAGCCGACTCCACTTAGCGGGATAAAGGTTGTTATTGTTGTTATTGTTGTAGGCGTTTGACATTTGAATACATATGAATTGAGTGGTACGTAGGCAAAGGCCCCCAAAATTTAAAGTTAATTATGTAAACATATTAAAAATTTTGTATGTATTTAATCTCTGAAAAAATAAAATTAAAAATGGGCAGAGGGCTAAACTTATCTGGAAAGATTTTAATACATGAGGTGCGTAAGATAGGTCTCTTTTCATATTAAAACTATCCACAAAATTACCTAGAAAAATTGAATATATTAATCCAATTCATTTATGTATAGTCATAAAATACCAACTTAAGCATATTGATTACCTATGACTTAATTAATCTATGAAAAGGATAGTTAAGATAATTATAAATTAATAATATTAACTAATGATTTGAGGAATGCCACATCACAATGAATGCAATGGTAATGCTAATTAACGCTAATGCTAAGTTAGCTTTGTTAGATATAGTTTTGTATTTCTATTGCTTTACCAATTAAGGGTAGTTTAGTCTTTTTCGTATTGTACATATATATACTCTTGTAATGAGGTAATGGGGTAGATTTGAAACCCTAGCCACGTTTGTCTCCGTTGTTTTCTCTTCTCCTTGCCCTCGATTGCAATTCTTAACATGGTATAAGAGCGGGTATGATCATCTCCTTCGGAACGCAGAAACTCCTGTTCAAGACGTACAAAGCCCTTGCCTTCTGTTGCTTTTTGCTTCCCTTTGCCATCCGCGAGTCTCGATCTTGTTCGTAACTCCCGTCTGCAAGTCTCGATCCCGTTCGCGACTCCTCCCTCCCATCCGTGCGGCTCACCCGATCAATTTCGCGACTCCTCCACTCTCTATTCGCGATTTCCGCTTGCAGGATCTTGTTCGTTTGTCGCGCTTGTGAGGCGCGTGATCTATTCGCAATTTGGTTCTAGTTCGAGATTACAGGGTTGCTCAGGGGACTTTATCAGATATTTCGGAGGTTCACTTTCATGTAGTTGCAGTTCTTCGAGCGATATATCGTTATTGATATTGATCTTCCTCTTCTTTGTTTATTATTTTTTTTTTTATCATTGCAATGACGGGTGAAAAGGACGATTCTCTTCAGTCTATTAGTGTCCAATTAAATGGACAAAATTACTCTTATTGGAGTTATGTTTTGAAGAATTTTTTGAGAGGAAAAAGAATGTGGAGTTATGTTTCTGGAACATCTGTGAAGCCTATAAATGAAAAGGTTGAAGAATATGAAGAAATGCTGAAATTATGGGAAGCAAATAATTCAAAAATAATCACTTGGATCAATAACTCGGTTTCACAATCAATCAGTGTTCAATTAGCAAAATATGAAACCGCCAAAGAAGATTGGAATCATTTGGAAAGATTATATGTGCAATCAAATTTTACAAAGCAGTATCAATTAGAGATAGACATTCGTGCTCTTCAACAAAACAATATGAGCATTCAAGAATTTTATTATGTTATGACTAATCTTTGGGATCAGTTATCTCTTACTGAATCTGCAGAATTACGAGCTTTTAAACCATACACTGATCGTAGAGAAGAACAGCGTTTGGTTCAGTTTTTTATGGCTCTTCGAAATAATTTTGAAGGGCTTCGTGGAAAAATTTTACACCGCAATCCTCTTCCAACAGTTGACTCTGTGGTTAACGAGTTATTAGCTGAAGAGATTCGTCTCAAGTCTCAATCTAAGAAAGGGAATATTGAGAAAGGGATCCTCCCCACTCCTAATCCATCTATTTTTGCTGCTACTCATAATAAAAGTAAATCTGATGGAAATGTTGGTTTTGATGAATGTAGCTTCTGCAAGCAAAAGGGTCATTGGAAAGCTCAATGCCCAAAGTTGTTGAACAAATCTCAGCAGACACAACAACTGAATCCGTTGCACCCACGCAACTTTAAGACTTCAACATCAAATGTTGCAGCTGTTGTTCCTCCGACAGACTCTCCTGGTGTTGGACATGCATATTATTCAGGTCCTACAGTAGTTATGCTTGCTGAACAGTTTCAAAAGTTTCTTGCCACACAACCACATGCCATGTCCGCCTCCTCAAATATAGGTTTTTCCTTCTTCTAGCTCATCAGGTATATCATCTTTCATTTGGATTCTTGACTCTGGAGCCTCTCATCATATGTCATTTGACTTTACATCATTTGTATCCTTACATCCTGCATCATCTGTATTTGTCAAGACTGTTGATGGCACTCATATGCCATTAGCAGGCATTGGATCTGTATACACACCACATTTATCCCTTTCAAATGTTTACTATATCCCCATTTTTACTTTGAACCTTGTTTCTGTTGGTCAATCATGTGATTCTGGTTTCTCAGTTTTCCTTTCTTCCACTTCTTGTTATGTGCAGGATCCGCAATCCAAGATGCTGATTGGGACAGGTCGTAGACAATGTGGACTTTATATTCTGGATGAGCTAATAGTTCCAGATATTGCAGCTTCCAGTGTTGACCTATCATCTTTTCGTTTGATTTCATCTTCTTCTAAATTTTATTTATGGCACTCTTGCCTTGGACATGTTTCCTCTTCTCGTCTAAAATACCTAGTTTCTACAGGCGCTTCGAGCGAGTTAAAAACTAGTGATATTTCTTACTGTTGTGGTTGTAAACTTGCTAAATTTTCTACTTTACCCTTTCCTAAAAGTGTTTCACTTTTTGTTGCACCTTTTGACTTAATTCATTCAGATGTATGGGGTCCATCACCTGCTGTTACAAAAGACGGATCTAGATATTATGTCTCGTTCATTGATGACTATACTCGATATTATTGGCTTTATCTTATGAAAAATCGGTCTGAATTTTTTAGTGTTTATAATATGTTTCGTGCATTTGTCAAAACTCAACATAATGTTGTTATTAAATGCTTTCGATGTGACCTGGGAGGTGAATATACCTCTACTAAACTCTCTGAATTACTTGCATGTGATGGGACTTTCCTTCAAACTTCTTGTACTGGCACTCCTGAACAAAATGGAGTTGCTGAAAGGAAACATCGTCATATTGTTGAAACAACTCGTTCCCTTCTTCTGTCTG